AACAATTTTTATAGGTACATGGAACGTCCAGAAAATGTGGAAGACCGCGAAGACCATTCAAATAGCAACGGAAATGAGGAGATACAACTTGGCAGTACTGGGAATCAGTGAAACCCATTGGACCGAAGCTGGACAACAAAGGCTAAATACGGGAGAAATGTTGCTATACTCCGGTCACAAAGAGTAAAATGCTCCACATACTCAGGGAGTTGCTCTAATGCTGTCCAAAGTAGCACAAAATGCACTTGTAGGATGGGAATCTCACGGATCCAGAATCATCAAATTATCATTCAAAACAAAGAAGGAGGAGATCACAATGAACATTATTCATTGTTATGCACCCACCAATGATAGCAACGACGACGTTAAAGATCAATTCTATGAGAGGCTGCAATCAATCATAGAGAAGTGCCCAAGTAAAGACCTCACCATTCTCATGGGAGATCTAAACGCCAAAGTTGGAATAGACAACACCGGATATGAAGATATCATGGGACTACATGGACTGGGAGAGAGAAACGAAAACGGGGAAAGATTTGTAAATCTGTGTGCATTCGACAAATTGGTCATAGGCGGCACAATATTTCCACACAAACATATACACAAAGCTACATGGACCTCACCGGACCACTCCACAGAGAACCAGATAGATCATATTTGCATCAATTAAAAGTTCCGAAGGACAATGAAAGATGTGAGAAAGAGAAGAGGAGCGGACATAGCTTCAGATCACCACCTGGTTGTGGCCAAATTGAAACTGAAGCTAAAGAAGAACTGGACAACTGGACAAACAGCAACACAAAAATTAAATACAGCCTTCCTTCGAGATACTGACAAACTCAATGGATTCAAGGTAGCTCTCAACAATAGGTTCCAAGCCTTACAGGATCTGCTGAAGGAAGAAGAAACTACTATAGAGGATAGCTGGAGAGGCATCAAAGAAACATTGACTTCAACTTGTGAAGATTGATTATGAGAAGGCATTTGACAGTGTAGATAGGAGGACGTTATGGAAACTTCTCCGACACTACGGAGTTCCTGAGAAGATTGTCAACATTATCCGGAACTCATACGATGGACTACAGTGCAAAGTAGTGCGCGGAGGACAGCTGACAGACGCATTCCAAGTAAGGACTGGAATCAGATAAGGCTGTCCACTCTCTTCCTTCCTCTTTCTTCTGGTGGCCGACTGGACTATGAAGACTTCAACATCTGAGGGAAACCACGGCATACGATGGACAGCTCAGAACCAATTAGACGACTTGGACTTCGCAGACGACCTAGCCCTCCTATCACATACACACGAACAAATGAAGATAAAGACAGCCAGCATAGCAGCAGTCTCTGCATCAGTAGGCCTCAACATACACAAAGGGAAAACCAAGGTCCTCAAACACAACACGGAGAACAGCAATCCAATCACTCTTGATGCCGAAACTCTGGAAGATGTAGAATCCTTCACATACCTGGGAAGCATCATCGATAAACAAGGAGGTTCAGATGCAGACGTCAAGGCGAGGATTGGCAAAGCTAGAGCGGCATTCCTTCAACTGAAGAACATATGGAACTCAAAACAACTTTCAACCAATATCAAAGTCAGAATCTTCAATACCAACGTCAAGGCAGTTCTACTGTACGGAGCTGAAACTTCGAGAACTACAACAACCACCATCAAGAAGGTACAGGTATTTATTAATAGCTGTCTACGCATGATACTCAACATCCATTGGCCGGATACAATCAGCAACAGCCTTTTGTGGGGGAGAACCAACCAGCTTCCAGCTGAAGAGGAAATTAGGAAAAGACGGTGGAAATGGATAGGACATACATTGAGGAAATCATCAAACTGCATTACGAGACAAGCGCTAACTTGGAATTCTGAAGGGAAGCGGAAAGGAGGAAGGCCAAAGAACACATTACGTCGGGAAATAGAAGCAGATATGAAAAGGATGAATAAGAACTGGAAAGTGCTTGAAAGGATCGCCCAGGACAGGGTTGGATGGAGAATGCTGGTGGTTGGCTCATGCTCCTTCACGAGGAGTAACAGGCGTAAATAAGTAAGTAATGAGTCATCAAAACTAATTAGTTTAGATGACCAGTTATTAGTATTCATCGAGTTAGCATGCTATGCTTACTAATCAATATAGCATTACGATTATAGATTCACATAAGTAAAAATCGATCGGGGAATTCAAAGTGATAATAAGGACTAATAGTAATAGGTTACGTTTCTTTAGTCGGGCATACCAATGTATAATCGTGATTAGGGCCCAGTGCCATTACAGTTTCTCTTTATACGTTTTTTGGAAATCAAAACCCTTATGAAAGGCAGATGTAAAATATGCGATTATTTTTGGTGCTCGAGTATTGATACTCCTGAATGGTTTTAGTTCATTGACAGCTTACAGTGAGTTATTTATGTACTTACGTGCAAGTGCACTACGGATTTATGTCCATGCGTCTGTCGCGTGGGGATTAAGTTGTTTAAGCCGCGTCATCAGAGGATGGTCGGCCTTGCATGTTAGAATATCAAAATTAAAAAATTGAGGTGCAGAACGTAAAGAAAGGCAATAGTCCAGGCAAGTACTTTTATTACTCAACAAACATATACAAACGTGCAAGAGAGTCTGAAAGATCAAGAAGATAAGAGTTGAAGTGCGTAGAATGAATTAATTTGTAATCGTAATAGGATTAGTTATAATAACTGATTAAACGAAGAGATACCTAGCGTTTGGTACAAATAAGTCCCGAAAGCCTATTCTGCATTATTTGATATTGTGATTAATATAGAAAACGATGTTACAATTCACCTAACCTCAAAGTGATTGACAAATAATGAAACAACGGCGAGACTATAATTTATGGAAGAACCAGTTAGATTTAGTAAAACAGGTCTTGGATTTTGGCGCGAAATTTACTCACCCATTCCTCCAAATAGGGTCATGGCATTTTATTTGGCATCAATTTGTGATGAAAACCATAAATCTAAATCTTAACCCTTACCATCAATTGTAGATCATCATCTTTATTCCTCAAACTGCTTTATAACCTTCGGTTAGCCCTACAAAGTAGGTGGACACTCTCAAGGTCACTTTGGCGTCGCTCAAAAGTCGTCCATAAATTATAGTCTCCCCGAAAAAACTAATCACACAGACCAGTACCCGAAATTTCCAGAAGGTTTACAATGGAGGTTGTTGTGCTGTCATGAACTACGGTTGTTCGTCTCTCGCAACCTAGGAGCAGACGCTCCTCATCACATGCTGCTTTGTGGAGTTTTCAACCGTCGGCGATCATGCTGAAGAGTAGGAATACGAGAGTACCATAGAGATCTGTAGTTTCGTCCTGTGTCAACCCATTGAACCCGGTAAGAAGATGCAGTGATTTCGTTTAGAGCGTTATTTTGTAATAAAACGATAACGTCCTGCACCTGTTGATGAAGATTAGAGGGAACGAATTATCTAGACTGACTACCGGAAGTTTGTTAATTGGTGGCTTTCTTTGTACGTACTAACATTTCTGTCACCCAACCATGTTGAAGATGCCGGGTATTCGTAGTTTGACAACGCTTTAACCAGTAACACCTAATATGGAGCGCACCCACCAAGTAAAATCAAAAGACAGAAGTGAGGAGATCGAAGTTATATTTGATAAGATATCAATATATCGAGGATCGTATGCACTAATCTGGTTAGCGATTGCGACAGATGTTGAGCACGGCGTTCCCACACGTGATCTGGCGCGGATGCTTGACCGAGCGCCTTCAGCTAGATGAGTCCACTAAAACTGTGGTCAGCATCTAACGTCGAAAACTTACAGAGCTATTTAATTTTGGGGAATTATTTACCGCTACAATGTTACAATGCATTATTGACGAACAGCTAGTCTAGACTCTGTTCATCGACTGGGTCCCGATATTTAAGAATAGCATTTCCTTAAATTGTCATAAGGTTCGGAAACACCACTAACAAACACCTTGTGAGTAACTTATTTTTGTAATTCCCAGAGTAATGGTTTAGGCATTGCATGGAACTGAGCATATGGGTCAATCAGGTCGTGCTCGCGGATGTCAGCTTCTCAACAGAAAAACCAGGTTCCGATGTTATCATGACGGAATAAAGTGAATTGCAAGGCGGATAAGCGTGAGAAGCCTAACCTCCAATACTTTAGTTACATGTCTTGACATAAAAACAATAAAATGTATAACTGCGGAAAAATATCCCGATATACAAAAAGGTGTCACATGTTAGTACACATATATATAGTATTGCAACAAAGAACAAACTGACAGTATATCGCTTAGTGTACCAGATCACAAAGATTTGGACCGTGACACCTTTATTATCGAGGATCCCAAACAAAGCCTAAAATACAAACTAACTTGAAATATCTAATCCTTTTCCCTATATCATATCGTAGAAAGCGAGGCGATCTTATATTAAAAATTAAGGAATTATTATTACCTTGCACCTTCCAGAACTTGTGATCACCGAGATTACAGCAGGAATGTTCAGAAAGCTAGATTAAACAACTTAATACGGTCAATGAATGGAACGTTTAACTCAAGTGGTATCAGTTTCATCAGTGAGCATTTTCAAGAAGAAGAATCTTGACTGGAAAAGGAGTTTCAGAGATTAATTTAAGCCTACAGATCTAATATTCTGTAGATGCCTGACCGAGTGCCATAAGGTGTGTTCAGTAAAACTGTTGTCAGCATCAATGTCGTAGACTGACATAGTTATATATATTGAAGATTTACCTACCGTCACAAATATACCAAGGTCCCTACCTGGGAAATTCAGTGGTACGGAAACCGGTAAGGAGAAAGGTTCTTAAATTCGATTCACAAACGTTTTGCGTATTTGACATAATTCCACTTATTCGCGCGACATATAAATGTATTGCTGAAGGAGACCTGCCTGTCGCTTACACAGGTGTATTCTTTGAATTTTTTAGAAATAGTAGGTACCTATATTCTGAATACTATTTTGTTTCAAAAGTATCAAATACTTTCCCCGCATCAAGTATGTGTATGTTCGTCGTAACAGTACCTTTAAGTAGTTTTAAATGAATGGAGAAAACCTCGAAATTTCACCAAATTCGGAAGATTAGGTGTCTTATATAACACTAATCACAAATCAAATTTTGTCAGTAGTCTATACATCTCATTTCTTCCCGATGTTGTTCTTTGAAGATTGGTATAATAAAATCCCCATAGGTTCAGCTCAGTATAGTACCCAAGCAGTTTGAGTATCCAGACTGAATGTTCGTCAACGTAGGTTAGGAAATATATTAAGTGTCCTTATCCATTGACTACCTTGACGCGCAGTTACAACTGGTGTAAGAGTTGGTTAAAAGAAACCAGTTCATGTAAACATCAACTGATGAACTTGGCCATCTCGGTAGGTGAAGGCTACCTGGCTGTGGTTCACATGGTCATCATAACCAATGATCGGAGACTGGGTGACATGGTTCAGATACTCTTTGTCTTCTCTTGGGTCTGCGGTTTCTAAGTTATCGTACAAACTAATGCATTTTTGAAGATGCGATTTCAGAGGCATCGATTGATACATTATCTTTTGTGTTGCCACAGCTATTATAACCACTTCTATTGTTATAAGGATGGTCCCTTCAATTTTGTCTTGCTGAACTATTGGAGTTCGTCAGCTAGAATTAACGTACTCATGTGACAGGATCTACGTTGAATATGACTGACCAATGTTCGGTGAATGAGTATACCTTTTATGTTGGCAATATATTTACTCTTGTAATAGACCACCATCACTAACCTTAGATTTATTTAGGGCTTTTCGAAGCAGCGTTAGAAACTAGTATTACCCTCAATAGGATAGTCGATTCAAAGTGATGAATGGTTCAGTAAGCTCACTTGTATTTCTTTTGTTTGTAGCTGAACTTTATTATTGATTGTATTATAAATCAACAAATAGTATCAATCCCTCTAACTAGGTAATGAATGCTAATAATAATAATAGAGTGTCTTATTACGTACATAAGTATATGAGTGCCGTGATGTTTTCGAAGCGAAATCTGATTTAGAGACTAGTCTCTAATCTGAAGATTCCGTAATCTGAGCGCTTGCATTTGTGCATTTTTAAAAATAAAATGTAACACTATTCTTCGTTTTTAGGTTATGATATGCTCAAAATACACTTCTAGTAAGTTTCGATTACTTCTATTTGCAGATTTGTTCCATAATGTGTTTCGCTGGGCTTCCAGTCAGGTGGTTCTCAATAGTACAAATATACCAGACTTAAAAGGACCGAGGTCTTTGAATGCTGTTGCAGAGAAAACCCCACAACCAAATATGTAATTCTTATATTTCAGCCTAATGAATGAAGTTTGGGCCATCATGTAATTACAGAGGAATGTTTGACTTCATTAGTGGAAGATAAACAATATTACGAAACCCCCATTCTTCATTTGCTCTCACGGAGAAACAACGTGATTGCAACATTAACTGACTGTAATGGACGAGTCCTGAATGGCACTAGTTGTGGTGCCGAAGGTTTTCGGAACGCTCGTAAAATGTCTACTGTTGCTTTTCAAACTGTGGGTATCTCCATAGGACTGAAGGCGAAAAAACTTGGGATTGGGGCTGTGCGTGTTGTATTTAATGGGTTAGGGTCATGTAGGTTGGTAAGTATTTCCTTGCTTTTTGGTTAACCTAATAGCCTGTGCTCTCAGGTTTGAATATCTCGGGACTAAAGATGATCTCTCTGACGGATGATACAAAAGTTCATTATGGCCATGGAAGAAGACCTAGAAAACAACGTAGGGTTTAAAAGGAACTTTCATATCACTTAATGTAATCATAGTAGTGGGAGTGTACATAAAATAAACCCTAAATTTTGGGCCATTTGTGAATCTTCTGTGTGTAGTTGCAAATTACTTTTCAAGTTTATGTTAATGAAGCGTTTAAAGATTCTATTTACTGGCTAGAATGTTGGTCAAACTGCCACATTTGATATAAAAATGCATCACTACTAATGAAGATGTGTATCTTATCGAAAATCTCAGAAACTCAAGGCAATTGAGAAAAGACGCTTAATTAGTTCTCTGTCCAAAGTTCTTTCCAATAAAAGTTAACATGAACTACCAAATAATTGTATTACTAATTGCTGTATACTTGAGCTAGGTAAGTATTGAGGTAAGAGTCCCATGGGATGCCACCGGTCACTCGTTATAACTTCAATTTTACTGAGGCCCAACTTTCATATGTACTAACTACTTCGGCAATTCCATGAACACGTGAGAAAAGCAGTAAAATCAACCACAATTCGCAGTCGCAATGCGCACCATGGAACAATGATTCGTGTAAATGCAGTCGGTCCCGAAATATTTCAAATGAAGTGTGGTAATCAGCCCTATGTCTTTTGCATTTTGAGACTACTATCTGCACATTTTATTTCGGTTAAAGATCTTACTGGTCCTGGATACAAAATGGTAACGTTAATTGCCAGTAGCATAACTTAGCATAAAGTTTCGGTACTAAGTATATGTTTCTAGGTTGCGGTTGAATTTGGCATTCTGAGATCTGATTAAGCTTGCGACGCTAAAAATATGCAGGGTCGGAAGAGATCAATAAAATCGGTTGTTGACACTAGAAATAAATCTAGTTATGTATTCAAGAATGTTTATTCGATAGTAGTATTTATTTGATCATAAATTAATAACCATATTAAGTGGTGCAATCATGCTAAGTATGATTGTACCTAACCTTTCCTTAACTCATTGTCTTAGAGAAAAACGCCAAAGTATGCATCCTGATGCACAAAATGCACTTATAGGATGGGAATCTCATGGACCAAGGATCATCAAAGCCTCATTCAAAACAAAGAAAACGGGGATTACAATGAACGTCATCCAATGCTACGCGCCTACCAACGACTACAATGAAGACGCTATAGATCAATTCTACGATAGGCTGCAGTCAATCGTCGAGAATTGCCCAACAAAGGACCTGACTATTCTGATGGGAGACCTAAATGCCAAAGTTTAAATTGACAACACCGGATATAAAGAGATCATGGGACGACACGGACTCGGAGAAAGGAACGAAAATGGTGAGAGATTTGCAAACCTATGTGCCTTCAATAAACTGGTCATAGGCGGAACTATATTCCCACATAAACGCATACACAAAACCACATGGACTTCACCGAATCACACCACACAGAACCAAATCGACTATATCTGTATCAACAAAAAGTTCTGGAGGACATGAGAACAAAGAGTGGAGCTGATATAGCATCAGATCATCACTTGCTGATCGCCAAGATGAAATTGAAACTCAAGAGGCACTGGACAACGGGGAGGACAATATCACAAAAATTTAATACGGCTCTTCTTCGGGATAATGACAAACTCAATAAATTCAAGATAACCCTCAGCAATAAGTTCCAGGCCTTTCATGATCTACTCAATGGAGAAGAAACTACTATGGAGAGCAACTGGAAAGAGATAAAAGAGGCAATCACTTCAACATGTCATGAGGTTCTGGGCCAAAAGAAGCACCATCACAAGGATTGGATCACGGTCGATACACTGGATAAGATTCAAGAAAGCAGCAATCAATACCAGTCGAACAAGAGCAGAAAAAGTCAAGGCACAGGCTGAATACACAGAAGTAAACAAGCAAGTGAAGAAGAGCATCAGAACTGACAAACGTAAATATGTGGAAGATTTAGCAATGACGGCGGAAAGGCTGCCAGAGAAGGAAACATGAGACAACTGTATGACACAACAAAGAAACTCTCTGGAAATCACCGCAAACCAGAACGACCAGTGAAAAACAAGGAAGGCAAGATAATCACCAACATTGAAGAACAACGGAACAGGTGGGTAGAACACTTCAAAGAACTCTTGAATCGACCAACCCCACTGAACCCACCCAACATCGAAGCAGCACTCACGGACCTCCCAATCGATGTTGGCCCACCAACAATTGAAGAAATCAGCATGGCTATCAGACAAATCAAGAGTGGCAAAGCAGCAGGACTAGACAGCATTCCAGCAGAGGCACTGAAAACAGACGTAGCGGCAACTGAAAGGATACTCCAAACTCTCTTCAGAAAGATCTGGGATGAGGAACAGGTACCGAAAGACTGGAAAGAAGGACTTCTAGTCAAAATACCAAAGAAAGGCGATCTCAGCAACTGTGACAACTACAGGGGAATCACTCTTCTCAATACCAGGAAAGTCTTCAACATTGTATTGTTAAACAGGATGAAGGACTCCGTAGACGCACAACTTCGCGACCAACAAGCAGGATTCCGTAATATACATAAGAAACAAGAATGGACCTAATACGCTTCCCTGGATGATTCCACTGGTTATTGGTCTAGGTGATGAGAGGCAGTCATTGTACTTTACAATCTGTTTACGTTCGGTTAAGAACGAAGCAAAACATGAGTACAGTGGGTGGTTTATTCCGAAGGACTTTAGTTTGACGAGAAGCCTTTTATGTAGGACTTTATCAAAGGCTTTCTTAAAGTCTAAGAAAAGGACTGATACAAGGAGTCCGTTGTCTCTTTTTAAAGTTATATCATTCAGGTAGTCTACTAGGCATGTATCGCATGATATTGACCTAAGAAATCCATTCTAGGAATTCAAGATGAGATTATTAGTAAGTAGATGTTGGGCTTCAGCCACCTTAAAAACTTTTTCCATCATTCTAGATACCACTGAAGTTATGTTTATGGGTCGATAATTGTCAACATTTGCTTCAGTTCCTGTTTTAATTTTGGGAACGATATTTGTAGTTTTCCAGGTAGTAGGGTAGCACGCTGTGGAGAGTGATATCGCAAAACGTTTGAGAAGCAAACCACACATATCATCACCTCCACGTTTTAGCATGCTAGCTGGAATACCATCTAGTCCATCAGTGTATGAGTGCTTCAATGTACTAATTGCCTTAGAGATATTTTGTACATTGAAGTCTACATTAGTAATTTCACAGGGAGATACTGGGATTAGTTCTGAATCGTTTAGTGGTTTTTCGTTAGTTTGTGAGAAACAAAAGTGTTCACTAAATAGTTCCGTAAAAAGTTAAGGATCTTCGTCTAACTGTTTGTCTTTAATGAATATGTTCTCTCTCGATTTGGAACGTTTAAGTTCATTTGGAAGGAGTATGGTGAGTGCTTAAAAGTTATTGTTAAGTTCGACTGCACGTTTTTCCTGTGCGACTGCTTTTTGTGTACTTATTGCCTCTGATATGTTATGATCACTACCTGGAAACGTTTTTCCAATACACACAGTATTGGCGGTGAGGCCACTGGTAAAGACTAAGTCCAAGATATTTTGATGTCTGGTAGGGCTATTGACATACTGAGTCCATTGTCCGAGCTCTAGACATTCTATAAATGATTCATAACATTTCGGCGCCTTGATTAGGAACCAAGAAATTTCGAGCATGTTGAAGTCACCACAAATAAGCCTGCCTGTGAATGGACGGGATGATGCTAGTGTGAATACCTCCGATAGTATTGCTATGTCATCTATTGATGCTTTAGGTTGACGGTAAACACAGCCGAACAGTAAGGTAACGGAATTAGACGGCTTTAACACAATCCACACCGAATCCTTCAGTTTGTTTGGTTCAGGCATATCACATAGTAGTGAGTTTAGGCTAGAGTGAGCGTAAATCAGGCATCCTCCGCCTCGTCCATTCAATCTATCACTTCTATGTTGGAAATATTTATCAAGAGATATACTTAAGTCGGAAATAATACTGTTCGTCCATGCTTCAGACATCATTATAAGTGATGGTTGATATATGGATACAAACAGGGCTAAATTTGTCTTTTTATTGCAGATCGACCTAGCGTTGATGAAACATTGTTGGGGACGATAAATTCCCCCAAAACTCACATTATAATTTTATCGATTAACTTATGGATTAAATGTTTAAATATTTGAATAGCAATCAATTGACGAACTTATTGGCGAATGTTTAAAAATTTAAATGACAATATCGATTATATATATTTGTATATATATGTTTTCAATTGTTTTGGTTGAATGACTCATTTCTGGTGGTTGCAGAATATACTTCTCATTTCAAGCCTGGACTTCTTCCTCTAGATAGCTGGGGCTGGGACGCGTCAATAGTTAGCTTACTGGTCTTGGTCATCGAATCTCGTTCTCGTTCGCAATCTAAGTGAACTCGATTAGCTTCAAAACTTAACAATTGGCGACGGTGGTTTTTCAATTATGGACCCTTCCAAACTTGAACTGTTACTTGAGCAGCAGCTGAAATTGATGCAAATGTTGATGGAGACCAGGGTTACGTCTCCCTTACAGCCAAGCACGTCTAGTTCAACCACGGCACCATCAGTAGACGGCATTGCAAATAGTATAGCTGAATTCCATTACGATCCTGATGCTAATGTTACTTTTGAGATGTGGTTCAGGCGTTACGAAGATCAATTTAAATTTGATTTCGCCAATCAAGATGATGCTTGGAAAGTGCGGCTACTACTTCGTAAATTTGGTGCAACTGAGCTGTATAAGTATCGCAATCTGATCCTGCCTATGAAGTGTATGTTACAAACCCAGTGGATCGTCTGTGAGCAATCGTTTAACCATAAGCTCTAATGCCTAAATAAACTTCAGCTCATATACAACAATATTACTCTATTTCTGTAAATGCTCAAGTAGTCAGAAAATGTGTAGGGTATCCCGTTTCCTCTCTTGACTGTCAAACACCACTTTCCACGGTCTCAAACAGTAAAGACCACTTGCAAACATTTGAGTAGACATCTGACTTCTGAACAACCGCTCGAGGTCGGCAAAGAGTCACAACACTAGATAGCACTGCCAGCTGACCATATGCATTTCTTGTGTAAATACATCAATTTCATTTCGACACCTAATCCTTCACCAGGTGATATTACATTCATTTCTCTTATAAAACTGGGATAATCAGATGAGCCGTCACTGAAATTAATTTTCCAGCAGCGAAAATAATGATGCCTCTGCCGCCTGCTGAGTTGAACTTGGTTTCAGAATACCACTTTTCAAAAAGAACACCAGACTAATCAATACCTTAGATCTCATTGTACTATGTGTAACACGTCCATGCCAGTCGGTAGGTTCAGGTATGTTAAACGACGGGTCAAAATAAGATATTGAAGTCGTGTTTATTAGGAATGCCTCCTTCAAACGTTGAACACGACCTTCCCTTGAATACTGCTCTATTTTCTTCTCTAATATAAATACCACAGACAAGATAAGAGTAGAAGACGTTCAGTGACGCTTCACACGCCAACTTCTAGGAAGTAACTTGAATGCCGATTACACAGATAGATATAAGCACCTCTCTTTAGAACCCT